AGAAACAACCTGGAAAGCTTTTCAAAACATGATGGATTGTCAGATGTGAGCCTGGTGTAGGATTGCAAACTGCGGTGACTGAAATGAAAATGTAACAGAATTTGCTCTATCATTATAGATACATCTGGAAAACCACATTTGACAAACCACTGTCAATGTTTCCATCAAAATAATTGTTGTAATAAATCACAACACAGTAGCTTCTCCTGAGAAACCCTCCCAATCATACTTTATCATGGTTTATTTACTTCTTCAAGTGGGTTATTGCACCAAAGGGGTCCACTCTGACCCACTTACATCTCTGCGTGATAATTTCTCATTTCAAACTTTTAGCCAAGTTTTATTAGTTTATTTTGGGACATTTAAAGTTTTCCTTGTTTCTGGGCTTTTTCGGCAGTCCAGTTGTGTGTTAAATTATTTGACATGTGCACCAGGATCAAAAGCCCTAATGCATCTTATTCGGCCCTGTGTGTTATGCAAATGTGGGTGTTTTAATGAAGGCGCAATGAATAATTCAGGAGTGATGTTCCACAAGAAGCGCACCGCAGGAACAAATTCATAGAAAAAAAGAATTGCTTAGGAAAAATAAAAATTGACATTGAAGTATCTCTCCCATCTGTTTGATATCCAGGGCTTCTCATCACTTGCTTATTAACAAACGTCTGTAAACTTAAATAACTCTTTTGATTAGTTTCTAAAGCACTCTGTGTCCACTTCTCGCTTGCCGCAGCCTGCCTTTTGTACTTTAAGACAAAAACAGAATATCAGGGTTAGCTTTCAAACTCAATTTATCTTTTTTTTCTTTTAGGAAGGGGTTGTTTATATAATACCAGAGTCTGATTACTGCCAAGGATAAGAAAGAAAAGAACACACTGCTGCACTTCATGTTCTGATAATTTGAGTTGCTATTAACAAGGACCAAAAATAACACTAAAAGCATCACTGTGTGAGAGTGTTCAAACATGAACAAATAAGAAAGTAATTTTTCATTATGTTACATTAGCTGTGTACATGTTAATTGTCACAAGGCCCTGTCGCAGAGACTTGGAGCTGCTGATCGCGGTTTGTGCCAAGTTGTTTCTTTGACAGCCAAGGGCTAAGAAAGGAAGGTGAGAATTATTCAACACCCACACATCACTAACAAGTATCTTATCTATACCTCCGGCAGTAGTCTCGATGAAATCCTTTTCTAGATCCAACTCAAGATGTTTTGACCTAAAACAGCCCAGACTGCATTTCTGAATGAGACGCACACCTGAGCTGTTTCAAATCATCATTCATCATGAGTTGTCATTATCTGAATGACAAAGTAACAGCGTGAGCATCGTTTTCACCATCTGTACTCACTGTCCCTCAC